TTGAGCCACAGCGCCACTTCCAGCTTTTTTCTTTTTGCTTATGTGGTGCTGAGGAATCGAACCCAGGGCCTCAGGCATGCAAGGCAAGCGCTCCACCACTGAGCCACCTTCCCAGCCTCCCAAAAAACATTTTTTTTTAATTAAAAAGGATAAGAAAAGTTAAATGAGCATTGCGGGAGGTTATTCATGGTGGACTAAGGACTACACTTGGCTCCTGAGAATCATGGCTAAAAATCAAGATGGCGTCGCTCATGCCAAGATTCCGCCTCACCTCACTGAGCTGAAACGAACCTGTTTATCTCACCCTCTGAGAAACCAGGATTCGTGAGATCACAGCCAAATTTCCCAAGCAGGCCAGTTTCACTTGGCACGGTAAAGAACTTCTTCCCTCTGCCTTAATCCTTACACAAGACAGGTAACCTGAAGTAACCTACTGCTTACCGGTTTCTTTCTATTCCATCTCCTTGTCCAGCCTCCCAAGAAAGGGAGCGGTGTGGTAACTCTTGCTTGTGATTCTTGCTGTTTGGGAGACACAGATAAAAGAGGATCAAGGTCCAAGGCTGGCCCCACCCAAAATGTGAGACCAGATCCCAAAACCTAAAGCAGGAAAGGCTTCACAAGGAAGCAATGAAGGAAAGGATGGAAAGCAAAACAAGGAGGGAAGGTAAATCTTTGAAGGCATGCGGAGGATGGGATCCAGGGCCTTGGCACCTGTCGGGTAGACACTGTACTACTGGCCTTCATCCTGAATGGCCAGGCTGTATTTTTTCCACCTTCTTCTGCCCTTTACTCATCTCTAAAACCCACTCCCTCTGCTGGGCTCCTCAGCAGAAAAGACCTCACGTCCTGCTCCCTAGAACGAATTGTTGACGGACTCTACAACCAAAAATAAAGCCGGCTGAGATCTGTAAACTAAATGGTGGTAATTCTGCCTTCCGTGTATGTGCTAGTCCTAGGGCTGGAAGTCAGGGCCTCACGCTCACTCTGCCCATGTGCTGAGTGCGGGCACTCAACCACACTTCCAATTCTGGCTTTTTGCCCATCAACTGTCTTCATAATCAAACCGTGATCCTTAAATTTCAGCCCCTGTGTAGCAGGATCATAGGCACCAGCTCCCAGTGCCCAGCTAGCCCTTTCAACCTTGTCAGGCAGGGTCTGCAGTTCTGCCCAGAGCCAGTCTGCACCCCGATCCTCCTGCTTATGCCTCTTGAATATCTGGGATTCTAGGTGTGTGCCGTCACACCTAGCCCTCAGCTAACTACTTTAGGGGAGAATTTACAGGTGGACTTGCTAAACTGTAGCCAGGGACAGACACAGCAGCCTCCAACCCAGAGAAGCACTGTTTGTGCCAGGAGGTTTCTTGCATTTAATTAACCCTGGCCGTAGGCTATTCTGACTCTACCTGCACTGCGGGACAGCAGATATTCTCTGATGATAAGAATACAGCCGGTGCAGGCGGCTTACACTATAATCCTAGCTACTCTGGAGGCTGAGATCTGAGGCCCTAACCCCCATGAACCACCAGAAAACAGGAAGTGGAGCTGTGGCCCAAAGCGGTAGAACTCTAGACCTGAGTGGAAGAAACTCAGGGAAAGCGCCCAGGTACTGAGTTCAAGCCCTACGACCACCACCACCAACATAAAGAATGCCCCACAAAACGCTTGGGACCTATTTATAACAGAAAACACCATTCCTTGTTTTTCTGCAGCTCGTTGTAACTTTCCATCTTGCATTTCATCTGCCAACCCCCAAAAAGGAGCTGTTGGTACAGGTTCAGGCTGGGTGTGTCTGCACTGCACACACGGGCCCAGGCCCCAAACTGCTCAAACCTTCCTGGGCTCTCCGGGCTCCTGGCTTTCTACTCCTTAGTGCTCTCTTCCTCACCTGCTTTTTTCTTGATCACAAAAATGGACAAGACAGCTGTGAGAGGCAGAGTGGGGTACAGGGATTGAGAAATGTCCAGTAGCCAAGTGCTGGTGTACATGCCTGTAATTCTAGCTACTCAGGAAGGTGAGGCCTGAGGTCTGAAGGCAGACCAGGCAGAAAAGAATTAACAAGCAAAAAAAAAAATCCAGAAATGGAGCTGAGGCTCAAGTGGTAAAGCACCAGCCTTGAGCAGAAAAAGCTAAAGGACAGTGCTCTGGCTCTGAGTTCAAGCCCCAGTAACAGTATAGAAGAAGGAAGAAGGAAGGAGGAGGAGAAGAAGGAAAACAGGAAGAGAAGGAGAGGAGAAGGAGGATGGAGGGGAGGAGGAGGAGGAAGAGGAGGAGGAGGAGGGAGATGGCCTTCATCTCAGAACTCAAGCCTTAAGGAAACAACACACCTTTGTTTTATTTTGTTTTTTGCTGATGTTCTTTTTCCTCTGTGTGTGTGTGTGTGTTCTGTGTGTGTGTGTGTGTGTGTGTGTGTGCGCGCGCATCAGTCCTGGTGCTTGAACTCAGGGCATAGGTGCTGACCCTGAGCTTTTCTGTTCTTCCACTTGAGCCGCAGCTGCCCTTCCAGATTTTCTGGTGGTTGATTGGGGATGAGACTCATACTTTTTCCTGCCTGAGTAGGCTTTGAACCTCGATCCTCAGATCTCAGCTTCCTGAGTAGCTAGGATGACAGGCGTGAGCCACCAGCGCCCTGCAAGTACCTGAGTTAGTTTTATTTGAACACAGACACATTCCATGCTTCACACATTCTCAGTGTCTGCTGTCATATTACCAAAGCCATCTGCAAAGTCTAAAATAGTATTTATCACGTCTTTTCTAGAACTTACAATTTTCCATTGAAGCACACAAGTTTCCCTAGAAGGTCAGCCAGACACAAGGTTCTCAGAGTGTGAGATTCATGCATGAGTAAAAGTGGAAAAAAGGAATCGCGGGTTAGCCGAAGGGTCTCCAGCGTCTGTTGTGCTAAGTGCCACCTTCTGCATGAAAGGCTGTTTTAGCAACACATAAAGGAAGACACTGTCCTTTCTTTTCGTCCTCTGAGCTGTGGCAAAAAGAAAAAAAAAAAACACTTCACCCCTGACCACACAGTTCATGCTCTGCATTGTGCAATCACTAATTTGGCCTCGACCCGAGGCACCAACTGCTGTCCCGAGACCGTCCAGAGAGGCTGCTGGCCTCACCCGGAGTCCTGGCCTTCGTCCCAGAACCGGTCCATGCCCTCTGGAGGAAAGGGGGGAGGTGATCATGGCTAGAGTCAGCCACGGCATGTCCCTCACCCAGCCCTAGCAGGCCTGAGTGTATTTTAAGAAATGTATTTTTCCTGATTTTTTTTTTAAGAAAAATAATCAGAACTGGGAAGGTGGCTCAGTCAGTGGTAGAGTGCTTGCCTAGCACGCATGAAGCCCTGGGTTCGATTCCTCAGTACCACATATACAGAAAAAGCCAGAAGTGGTGCTGTGGCTCAAGTGGTAGAGTGCTAGCCTTGAACAAGAGAAGCTCAGGGACAGAGCCCAGGCCCTGAGTTCAAGCCCCAAGACTGGCCAATACAAAAATCTGTCTGCATGCACAAAATTATAAAGGTTAAAGAAACACAGTAGAAATAAAAACTTCTTTCCAATCCAATAATCCCAAAGAAGCAATATCAAGCATGGCTGGAAGCCAGCCACTCACGCCTGTCATCGGAGCTACTCAGGACGCTGAGATTTGAGGATCCAGGTGTGAAGCCAGCCTGGGCAGGAAAGTCTGTGACACAGTTTTCAGCAATAAACTACCCACAAGTCAGAAGTGGAACTGTGGCACAAGTGGTAGAGCACTAGCCTTCAGCAAAAAAGCTCAGGGCTAGCATGTAGGCACACACACATGCCAATCATGAGGCACGAACTCAGGCCTGGGCTTTTCTGGCACTTTTAGGCTGGCACTCTACCAGTTTGAGCCACAGCTCTACTTCTGGCTTTTTGGTGGTTTATTGAAGGTAAAAGTCTTACGGACTTTCCTGCCTGGGTTGGCTTCGAACCATGATCTCAGATCTCAGCCTCCTGAGTAAATAGGATTACAAGTGTGAGCCACCAGCACCTGGCTAAACCCCCCCCCCTTTTTTTTGGGTCCGGACGTGGGGCCTGAACTCTGGGCCTGGGCACTGTCCCTCAGCTCTTCAGCTCAAGGCTAGCGCTCTACCACTTGAGCCACAGTGCCACTTCCAGCTTTTTTCTTTTTGCTTAAGTGGTGCTGAGGAATCGAACCCAGGGCCTCAGGCATGCAAGGCAAGCGCTCTACCACTGAGCCACCTTCCCAGCCCCCTTTATGTAAGTACAGAAGCAGAAGAAATACGGAACGATGAAGGGAAGAAAGAATTAAAGAAATTCTAAGTGATTATTGACTAAGAATAATATCAAAGGCTCAATTCCTGGGTACGCTACCAAGTTGTGCTCTGCTCCTAGGACGTGGCGTAATTTTCAGATATAATGGTGGAGGGTTCCTGTTTTTAGTTTATCCAAATCAACCTGAATGTTCCTTGTCCCAGCCTGTAAAGAAAATTGACAATACTGATTTTTGTGGAAAAAATAAAGAGGAGGTGCAGGGGTCTGGGCATGGTACTTGACTGTCATCACAGCATTTGGGAGCCTGATGAGCAAGGGTCACGAGTTCCAGACCATCCTGGCCTACAAAACAAAACCAGGAGAGAAAAGGAAATGTGACTGGATCATGTGCTTGCCTGCTCTTTGAATGGCTCTGTGCTTGAAATCTTCCCTCTGACCAATGCAAGTCATTCAAAAGACTTTTGTGCGTTAGGAACTTTTAGTTATGTCAGCTGAGGCTCTGGCTGCCCGCCTGGTAGAAAGACAATTTACAACAATAAACACACACCAGACTTGGAGTTATTCCTCTCGTCACCTGCCAGCCCATGGCCATTGATCGCTGAGCTCAGCAAACAGCCCTGTGTCTCTGATCTCTTCCTGCCATGCCCTGCTTGAAAATCTTTGGAGGAACTTCTGACCTTGGTCATCAAATTCTACGCCCCGCACCTCTGGGAAATCCTCATTTTCATCGATGTCTTTGGCATAAAGCACCAAAGGGTCTGGGACAAATGGAGGCTCAGCGAGGCCAGCTTCCAGGCAAATAAAATGGATGGTTTTGAAGAAAGGGTAGTTTTCTCGGGTCACCAGATTTCTCTGTTTTTGTTTTTTTTTTTTTTTGGTCGGTCGTGGGGCCTGAACTCTGGGCCTGGGCGCTGTCCCTCAGCTCTTCAGCTCAAGGCTAGCACTCTACCACTTGAGTCACAGCACCATTTCCAGCTTTTTTATGCTTATGTGGTGCTGAGGTGCTAAGGAATCGAACCCAGGGCCTCAGGCATGGGAGGTAAGCACTCTACCAATGAGCCAACTTCCTAGCCTCCTTCTCTCTCTCTTTTTAAAGGACACAATCAGCTGGACACAGTTAAGAAACCAAAAGACTAAGTGTAACAGTGAGAAGGCGAGGCGCTGAGTACCTTTTCTGCCTTCCATTTTATTGCACATGGGAGCTGGGTGTTGTACACACTCCTGTAATCCCAGCACCTAGGAGGCTGAGACAGGAAGATCTCAAGTTCGAGGTTTAGCCTAGGCTATGTACATATCTATTACTAAGCAGAGTGGGAGAGATTGTTTCATATCAAGGGTCTATATTATAGTGTTTGAAAGCATTGATTACCATTTACAATGTCGGGAATAGAACAGTCTTCCAAGTCCACGCTCTGGCATGCATGCTGGCGGCAGTGGCTTGGGGCTGGGCCTGCTGAGGATGGGGAGGAGCGGTGGGTGCTTTACCTGCTGTCCGCGGCGTCTTCTGTGAAGTTCAGGTGCTGGGCGGTGGTGCTGGCCTGCAGGGTTCGGTGCCTCAGCTCCTCTTTACTGAAATCCTTGATGGTGTCCAGGCTTCCACCTCCCGTCTCAAATCAGTTCACTGGGCAGGAGTAATGGGCCCCCTCCGCCAGGTCATCAGAAGCCGAGCAACCACTGCATCCGGCCTGTAGCCAGCACCAAAGGAGAGCATGGTGGACGGGGCCGGCTGCCCCCGCACCCCCATTCTCCCAGACCTTCTTCCTGAAGGAGCCAAACCTGCCAGTGTCCGTCCCGTGACTCTTCTGATTCCCTGAAGCCTCGGGGCAGCCGACTGGTGGACACATGGCCCATGCTGGCTAAAGGGGCTTTAGAATTATTGGCTGGGGGAGGGGGTCTGGGGAGGAGGCTCAGTGGTAGAGCGCTAGCCTGCCATGCATGAAGCCCTGGATTCGATTCCTCAGTACTACACAAACAAACAAACAAAAAAACCCCACAAGTGGTGCTGTGGCTTAAGTGGCCTGCCTTGAGCAAAAGCAGCTCAGGGACAGCACCCAGGCCCTGAGTTCAAGCCCCAGGACTGGCAAGAAAACAAAACAAAGAATTGTTGGCTGAGAGCCATTCCTAGCCCGCCCCCGGCGAGTGGCGTCATGGCTTTTTGGTGTCATGCTGGAGTCAAACCCAGGGCACTCCACCACCATGCTATACCTCAACCCTCTCACTATTTTATTTGGCCTTTGGGTCTGAACTCAGGGCCTGGATGCTGTCCCTGGACTTTTTTTTTGCTCAAGACCGAGCCAAAGCCCTACTTCTGGGTTTTTGTTGTTGTTGTTTTGTTTTCTGGTTAATTGAAGATAAGAGTTGCCTGGACTTACACGCCCAGGCTGGCTTTGGAATACAAGCCTCAGATCTCAGCCAGTAAGGATTTAGGTGTGAGGCACTGGTGTCTGCCTCGTTTTCTTTTCTGTGGTAATGCAAACTAAATCCAGGGTCTCAAGTGTGCTAGACAAGTGCTCTACCACTTAGCTACATCCCCAGAATTGTGGTATAAACTGGCCCAGGCATAGCTGGGGGTAGAGGGAAAAGGGTTGTAATCCTACTCAGGAGGCTGAGATCTGGGATCATGGCTCAAAGCCAGCCTGGGCAGGAAAGCCTGTGAGACTCTTATCTCCAGTTAACCACCAGAAAACTGGAAGTGGCACTGTAGCTCAAGCGGCAGAAGTCTTGCCGTGAGCTAAAGATCTGAGGGAGAGTGCTCAGGCCCAGACTTCAAGCCCCACCACCAACAAAAAAGGGCTAATGGCATGGCTCAAGTGGTAGAGCACCTTGCCTGGCAAGCACAAGGTCCTGACTTCAAACCCCAGTACTACCAACAGTAAAAGAACAGTTGGAGCCAGGTGCTGGTAGCTCACGTCTGTAACCCTAGCTATTCAGGAAGCTGAGATCTGAGGATTGCAGTTCAAAGCCAGCCTGGGCATGAAAAGTCCATGAGACTCTTATTTCCAACGAACTACCAGAAAACTGGAATGGTGCTGTGGCTCAAATGGTAGAGCACCTGCCTTGAGCTGAAATGCTGAGGGACAGCACCTAGGTCCTAAGTTCAAGCCCCACGACCTACCTCCTCCATCCCCCCCCCCCAAAAAAAAGCAGTTGGTGTGGGGCTTGAACTTAAGACCTGGATGCTATCCCTGAGCTCTTTCACTCCCAGATAGCACTTTACCATGCTGAGCCACAGCTCCATTTCCAGTTTTCTGGTGGTTAACTGGAGATGAGAGTCTCACAGACTTTTCCTGTCTGGGCTAGCTTTGAACTGCAATCTTCACATCTCAATAACTATGATTACAGGTGTGAGCCACTGGTGTCCGGCTCAGAATACTTTTTAAAAGTAATACTGAGGGGCTGGGAAGGTGGCTCAGTGGTAGAGCACTTGCCTTGCATGCATGAGCCCCTGGGCTCAATTCCTCAGCACCACATAAGCAGAAAAAGCAGGAAGTGGTGCTGTGGCTCAAGTGGTAGAATGCTAGCCTTGAGCTGAAGAGCTGAGGGACAGCGCCCAGGCCCAGAGTTCAAGCCCCATGACTGACAAGAAAAAATTAAAAAAAAAAAGTAATACTGAATGTTCACACGATATTACCTATTCTGTGATGTCTCTTTGCTTGTTGTTCTGCATTAAATAATTAAGGTTGTCATTTTCATTAAGAAAACTCCACACTGGGTGGGGTGGTACACATCTGTAACCCCAGCTATTTGGGAGCCAGAAGCAGGAGGATTTTGAGCTGGAAGCCAGCCTGGGTTACATGGGGAGACTCTGTCTCAAAATAAAAAGAAGAAATGCACATGGGTCATGGCTGTCCATGTTGGGTATAACTACACACCTGTGCTTTAGTTACCAAAGAGGCAAGAGTGTTGTAGGCATTTATTAAGTGACTTTCTTTCCAGGTTAACTACTCAAACAGATTTCTTCGTGTGTGTGTGTGTGTGTGTGTGTGTTGCTTTTACGAATATATAATTTCCTGGATAATTCCTACATAAATAGCAATGATGGAAATACACTAAGTGACGAGTAATCGGCCTGAGTAAGAAACTTCTGGAAATGACGGTGTGTGTGTGTGTGTGTGTGTGGAGGCCGCCCTGCTGTGTCTGTAGGAGCGGGCGTGCACTCTGCGTGAGGGCTGTTCTGGGGTTCTGGGAGAGTCCCTCACATCTGTCCTGGTGTCCAGCCGGGTTCTGCGTTTGTCCAGACATCTCAGTGCAGTCCTGTCTGGGGTGTGCCCAACGTGATATGACACTGGGGAGCAGGGAGACACTGGCGCTTCTCCATTCACCGTCCAGCGAACCCAGCAAGCGTTTGTTAAACCTGCCCTGGAGCAAGGCCCAGCACCACCTTGCCTGCCCTCACCTCTTGCGAGTCAGAGCCTGGTGCACACAGACAGGTCAAAAAGGCTAATTCATTGAAGTGCAGGAGCCGGCCCCGGTGGCTCACGCCTGCCACCCTAGCTACTCAGGAGGCTGAGATCTGAGGATGGTGGTTCAAAGTCAGCCTGGTTAAGAAAGTCTGTGAGACTTTTTTTTGCCAGTCCTGGGGCTTGAACTCAGGGCTCGGGCACTGTCCCTGAGCCTTTCTGTGCTTGAGCCACAGCACCACTTCTGTTTTTTTTCTGTGTAGGTGGTACTGAGGATTCGAACCCAGGGCTTCATGCGTGCTAGGCAAGTGCTCTACCACTGAGCCAGATTCCCAGCCCCCATGAGACTTTTTATTTTCAATGAACAACCAGAAAAACAGAAGTGACAGTGTGGCTCAAAGTGGTAGTGTTAGCCTTGAGCAAAAGAGCTCAGGGACAGCGCCCAGGCCCCATGACTGATGAGAGAAAGAGAGAGAAAAATGGTGGGAGGGAAAGAGGGGTGGGGGTGAGCTTGCTTGGAAATTCAGACAGATGTCAATTGGATGTGATGGATGGACAGACGTTGAATAGATGGTCAGAGGACTGATGATACACCATGGAATGTTGTTGGTTGTTTGGTCTGGGGCGGTCCTGGGATATAAGCTCTGTGTGGCACCAGCCTCCAGCCCCTGCCTGCCTGTGAATTATCTACTCCTCCCAACCCAAGCTCCTGGCCCTGGAGCCATGTGCGGGGACGGTCCTTCTCCCTCCTCAAAGGGAAGAAATGAAGATGTGGCCAGCCAGTCTGTGAGCAGGAAAGAGCGGGCAGGGTGGCTGAGCTTCATCCCAAATGCTGTCCGCACTTACAGTTCACCTCTGGATCCCACGATGTGGGCAGCATGGCGGAGAGGAGAGTGGGGGGAGAGGCGCAGGCCAGAGGCCGAGCACCTGCGGGGCAGGAGGGGACATCTTTTAACTCCTGCGGTTACAAAGGAGGTCCGGGCATCTGGGCCGCCTGTCCCCTGCAGGTGTCTGGACCGGGTGGGATTCAGACATCAGCACGGTGGGCACCTGTCCGGATCCCTCCTCCATGACTCATCCCCGAAGCTCTGGCTGACCCTGCTCTGTGACCTTGTGGAGAGAACCCTCAAAGTCAAGGGCACGCGTGAAGTCTTGAAACTTACCAATTCCAAAAATCCATCATGAGGAAAGGCCAGGCTGGGCCGGGCGCCCTGGCTCATGCCTGTAATCCTAGCTACTCAGGAGGCTGAGATCTGAGGATCACAGTTCAGAGCCAGCCTGGGTAGAAAAGCCCATTTGAGATTTTGACCTCCAATGAACCACCAGGAAACTGGAAGTGGTGCGGTGGCTCAAGTGGTAGAGCGCTCGCCTTGAGCTGAGGAGCTGAGGGACAGCGCCCAGGTCTAGAGTTCGAGCCCCAAGATGACAAAAAAAAAAAAAAAAGCAAAGAAGGAGAGGCTGGCCGGTCCGGTGGGCCAGGGCGGGGGTGCCTGGGGTGGTGGCCTCTCCTCCCCAGCCGGGCAATCCAAACAGAGGAGGGCTCAGCAGGCGCGGCCTTTGTTTGCCGTGTCAGCAGATCTGTCACTCTGGGCGGTTTCCTGGGGCTCCTTCCTCCTGCAGAGGGGGCCCGGCCGGCTTTGTTCTCCTTTCCAGCTGCTCCAGTGAGCGCTGTGGAGCCCGCCTCTGCGGGACCGCACCGCGCAGGAATGCGGCCCGCACCCCAGGGCCTGAGCTCGGGCTGGTCCCAGTCCCTGGGGGCGCGAGGCCAGGCGCCCCAACTCCTTCCCAAGCACTGAGCCTTCTTCCAGCCGGAGTTGGTTCAACCAGAGATGATTCCGGTGTTCAGTCACTGGGGGGGGGGGGGAGAATTCCCAAAAGGAGATCCACGATAATAGTGCATAGTCTAGAGTGACATGCCACCATTGTAGTCAGTAGGGTTCAGCAAGCAGCTCTACCAACGAATGCTGGTCGTCCTTAGCTTTCTGCTCAACCTCTCTGAGCCCTCAACAGGATTACAGTGGTCAGAGACTGGGTGCCTTCCACAGGTGTTGTCAGTCTGCCTGAGTCTGCGTACCTCAGGCCTGACAGCTACACCAGTGGAAAACCCCAAAGCTTTTGAGAGTCCATCAGCCCCAAAAGCAAGTGTGTGGTATTGCACCCCTACAATCCCAGGCTTTGGGAGGCTGAGGCAGGAGGATCACAAATGACAGGCCAACTATGAACTATGTAGTGAGATCTTGTATTTAAAAAACAAAAAACAAAGAACGGAACCTGCCAGGTGCAGTGGCTCACGCCTATAATCCTAGCGACTCAGGAGGCTGAGATCTGAGGATCACAGTTCAGAGCCCTCTCAGGAAGAAAAGAGTGTGAGTCCTATCCCCAGTTAACTACCAGAAAAGCTGGACGGGGAGAGTGGCGGCGCGAGTGGAAGGACAGTCTTGAGTTCATGTA